TTAGTGCACAAGAGAGAAATCTTGGAAACTCAAACAGTCCACCTAGTGCCACTGAAAATTTGGTATTTCAATCTACCAAGGCTCAAATTTTGCAAAAGTAAGTCTATAAATTTTGCTAAAGCTTACTTTTAGGCCTGATTTCTGTTCTTCCACCTTTTTTTTTTAAAGCTAGTTAAGAATTTCTTCACATTTCCTTCTTTTTTGCCCTAACCAATTCATTTTTTCCTAATAAAAATTCAGTTTCAGATATCACTAAGTTTTTATAGGTACTGATACACAATTTAGAAGTTTTTCAATTCAAATAGCAACTCACCCAACCAGTAAACATTTTTTAATAACTTAACCAAGATCCAAATGAGATTATTCCTAGCATAAGAAATGACAAGAAAAAAAAAAGGCGGGGGTAACTCTGGGCTGTTAAGCTTTTCTCATACAGTCAGAAGATAGCTCACCTTTTGGACACTTTTTGGCTTTCAAGACTCCCTTAGTAGTTACCTTTATCTTATAGAGACTCCAGGTACCTTTATCTGAACCTCACTACTGGGAAAATAGCAAACATAAAATGACCAGGACCTAGAGCCCTAATTTCTTACACCCAGGACAGAACAGTAACTTAAAAGAACTGTTACAAGAACATCAACTTGGAAATCTTTAACAATACACTAAGACAGAATGCTGCAGTTCCTACTTAGCTGTCTAGGTAATGCACACCTGCATATACACCCTCTGACCGACAGAGGCCAAAGAGACCAACCACCAAAAACCCCTCACTGTTATAGTCATATAAGTCAGCAGGTAACACATAACATGAACAAAACACAGTATTGAAAATGTAGTTTCAAGATGAACAAGAGAGTAGGCAGATCTCACTTCTCAAAATACTATTCAAAAAAAGAAAGTCCACAAAATAAAAGGTAGACCAAAGGACTGGGGAGATAACACTTTCTTTCAGGGAAGAGAGTCAAAACTCCAGGCAAAGAAAAAGCCAATGAATCAAACAATAAGGTGGGCAAAGTCCTTAAAGTTAAAAAGTAGCTAGTAGATTTCACATTCCAAACGATTTGGGACAGAAAAGTCCACTGAAATCAGCAATGATGTTAGAAATCAAAGTCTGAAGAGACAACATAGAAAAAAAAAATACCTTCTTGAAGAAGCCAGTATCAAAAGGACAGAATCTTTTAAAGCCCAAAATCCTAGAAACAATACCAATGAACCACTTCACCCCAAATATTTTCTCTTCCCCAATCGTACATTTAGAGGAAGAATAAATATCTCTATCACTTGCTTTCTGTTAAGACTTCTGCAGGGGGGTCAATCAAGAGTCTGACCTGGTTAAGTTTTTTTGTTGTTGTTGTTGTTTGTTTTTTTTGCTCGTCAGTCTATGCAGAAGTTTATTAGCTCTTCCTAGGCATCCCTCCTGGTGAACAAGCAACATTCAGATACGTGACAAGCCTCTGCGCTCACTGGACATATTGTTGGGATCCAAAGGAGAGCTTTCTGTTCCTCTCTGGGTTTTTCTAGATGGACAACTAATCAAATAAGCATCAGATAGGTTGTTAAAAGAAAAACAATGTTTGCTAACATGTAGATCTCCTTATATGTGGGGGACCAACAAGACTGGGAAACTCATCAATGTGGCTGCAGACACCATTTTATCTTATTTATTTAAAAAAATTAAGATTACCTATGCATGCAGAGCTGGATACAGGGTTGAGGTGCAGGAGTGGTGAGAAGATTCACCAGAGACAATGTGAGGAGCACAGTAGCCAGATTGATGAAGTACATGAGACAGGAGAGGTCTGCTACGCCATGTGGTCACTCCCTGACCTGGGATCGAACTCGCACTGAGGCAGCTGCTGCTGGCTTCATAATGCTGTGTTTTAACCCATTGCACCACCAGGGAGGGCCCCAGATACTATTTTAAATAACTTAACTAAGAGAATGTTGAGGGGGAGAAAGCAAAAGGCTAGTTAGAAAGGCTGCCAGGGAAAGGCATAGTAAACAAAGGCATGACTGCTATGCAAATTTGAGTTATATCTTTTCCTTTGAAAATATCTAAGGAAATTAGGACTTCTGGTTCAGGGACAGTAGAGTTGGAGTACATCCATAACAAAGCGAGCTTTTCCTTTCCACTTATAAATGTCTCTTTCAAAAGGGTGACCTCCACCATCCTTCAAAGTTCCTCCTAAGAAATAAACCTTCTGTCAAAAAGTGATATTTAGAGGTAGCAGGTTTGCTTTATATAATACAAAATTGTCGTTTTCCTTAAAATTCCACATTTTTTTTATCAGGGTAGGTCATCTCTTTTTCTGAGTGTTTAACATCATGAAGGAAGTGCTTGATAATGGTGACATGTGACTCATCTTAGATCTTAAACTGTTACCTGGCAACTCTGTTCATTTGTTTCTTCAGAGAGAGAAACCAAAGTATTGAATTGGGATATAATATGCCATCTTAACAAGAAGAATGTTCAGACTGAGGTACATGTAAGGTAGAGAACAGCAGCTAAAATACTAACAAAATTAATGTAGGAGCCCAGCAAGGTAGCGTGCTATAGAATCAATATACAAAATCAACAGATCTCCAATTAATTCTAAATAATGAGACAGGATGGTTCGTGAGCAATTTTTTGTTCACAGATATCAAAAAATATCAAAAAATAGCACCTAGAAATAATGTTATCAAGTTATGTGTGAAGTCTCTATGAAGTGATGACAGTTCATTTAAGAATAAGTCCTAAAAATATGCATTAAAATGCCATAGTTATGAATGGAAAGGAGTATTATCTTAGAGATTTCAGTTCCCTCTAAATGTGAGTGGCAAAAAGGACTGATCTGCTGTCTGCACAATGCTCAACAAACCCTGCCAGCCAGGGGCTATATTCACTTGGAGGAAGACTTTCTTTTTTATTTGCAATGAAGGCTTGTGGTGTCTCCCAGTGGTCTTGATGAAGGAAAAGGCTATAAATAGACAATTGATGGACATATAAAACAGCTCTATACAAGCTGCCTATACAGAGGTTTTCACTGTACTTACAATTTTTAGAGAAATGAGTTAAACATGTAATCAAAGACATGATAAAACTAAGAAACCTGGTAAGAAGTGATCCGTAGTACCATGTATTTATGTTAGAATAGCATAATTTAAATAATATATATAAAGTTGATATAGGCAAAAATAGTAAATGTTGAAGATATGGGTTTTTGTTGATGGCTTCATATTCTCTGGTTACACACAGAATATATATTTTTACAATATATATTTTAAAAATTTTTAAAGTTAAACCATGCTTTCTGTAATGGTTTCACCAGTTCAGATATCCACCAACAGTGCAATAATGTTCCTTTTCCTACACACTCTCTTTAGCATTTGTGGGGAGATGTTTTAATATCTGTCATTCTTACAGTTGTGATCTGTAATTATATTTGTGCTTGTATGTTGTGTAGAACTGGGGTGTAGGAAAAGTGCAAGTTGAGAGAGATTCACTAGGGCTAAAATGGGGAGAACGAACAGGCACGAAGTAAATGAAGTATATTCCAATATTTGTGCCTGTTCAATAGAAGTATATTCTTTACTGAAATACACTACTAAGGAGAGCAGTGGGTGAGAAGAGAGGTCTGCTGTGACATGTGTGGGTTTCTTTTATTTACTGAGATTTACTTATCAATAAATTCTTAAATTGAGTAAAAGAATAGAAAGAAGGAAAGCTAAGATTATTTATAATTTTAACGGCCTCTGTAATAAAGTGTTAGAATTATCTCCTCTTATCAGATTTTCTGTTACTTACATTGACAGCATAAAACTCATTCTTATATATTCATAGATTATCTATAAACATGGAAATGTTCCTTTCAATTTTATAAAGAATAAACGTGGTATTCTCAGGAACATAAAAAAACAGTTAGCTTTGTTATGCCTTAAGAAATTTCATAGAGCTACTTCTTAAATGTGGAAGATAAGAAAGCAAAGGATATGAAAATGTTAGCACTTAGTTTATTTTCAAATGCAGATATTTTGCCAGATTCATTTCATTTCTAAATCTCATCTCTTAAGTAAATTGATTTTGTTTCTTTGCTTGTCTAGTCTAGATAATAAGAAGTACCTAGCTATTAATTGAGATATGTTAGCAGCTATTAGAGGGAGAAAGACATAGATTAATTTATTTTCTTCAGAAAGAAAATAGAGAATACTATTTCTCTCACCAAATTACATAAATATATAAATTATTTAATTGATTTATTGGTTTTCTTAGGTTAATATTTTCAGAAAATGACATTAGATGCATCTTCTATTGAAAACCTGAAAGGATTATGTTCTAAAATTAAATATTAGAAAAGTATTTATTAATAGAAGAAATCATTTTCAAAAATCACACATGAATGCAAGATATGAATTCTAAAGCAAAGTAAATGCCCTGGAGCTGCCCATCAGCCATCCCACCCAGGTTTGAAGGTCACTGTTGCTGGCTATTTGGCTAAATTTCAAATCAATTTGAGCCCTGATCAGTCACTCAGAACTGACCCACACAGATGGGCAGCCATGTGGTGCTCCGGTGCATATTAATCAGAAGATTCCACTACTCCAAAATGGAATAGATCAGCTCTTTAAAATAAAACTGTGTGGGACAAAATGTAGAGAGCTTGAGTAAATGTTTGAGTGCCAAACATTTGTGAGGCTTTGCACCTTCACTCTACATTCTGGTGCCTTCTTACCTGTAGGGAGTAGAGATCCAATGTAAGTCATTTTTTCCCATGAGTTAAAGTATTCAAGGAATAAAACATTGGCTCAAGTAATTTACAGATTCTCAGTTTGGTAGAATACAAGGCATTTTATTGATTCTCTTTAGTGGAATATACTTCATTTACTTCGTGCCTGACCTTTGGTTCTGGGTACTTTAGGGACATGGAGAACTGGGAATGTGTAGTGAAGTATAAATGCACATGGCTTTGAGGATTTAATTTCATTTTTAACCTAAATTTTAAAACTTTACATTGGGTTCCTCACGGAGCGGAGACGGCAAATGGCGGACTTCGATACCTACGATCATCGGGCCTGCAGCAGCTTCGGCGGCGGCAGAGGGTCCCGCGGCAGTGCTGGTGGCCATGGTGCCCGTAGCCAGAAGGAAGTGCCCACAGAGCCCCCCACCCCCAACAGCATATGTAGGAAATCTACCCTTTAATACGGTTCAGGGCGACATAGATGCTATCTTTAAGGATCTCAGCATAAGGAATGTACTACGGCTAGTCAGAGACAAAGACACAGAGAAATTTAAAGGATTCTGCTATGTAGAATTTGATGAGGTGGATTCCCTTAAGGAAGCTTTGACTTATGATGGTGCACTCTTGGGTGATAGGTCACTTCATGTGGACATTGCAGAAGGCAGAAAACAGGGTAAAGATGGCTTTGGATTCAGGAAAGGTGGACCAGATGACAGAGGAGTGGGTGGCTCTCGAGAATCTAGAGGTGGATGGGATTCCCGGGATGACTTCAATTCCAGCTTCAGGGAGGAAGTCGCCCAGGTGACCGGCGAACCGGTCCCCCAGTGGGGAGTCGTTTCAGAGATGGTCCTCCCCTTCGAGGGTCCAACATGGATTTCAGAGAACCAGCAGAAGAGGAAAGAGCACAGAGACCATGGCTCCAGCTTAAACCTCGGACAGTTGCAACACCCCTCAATCAAGTAGCCAACCCCAACTCTGCTATCTCCGGGGGAGCCAGACCCAGAGAGGAAGTCTTTCACAAGGAGCAAGAATGAACTTTTGGGTGGGAGGGAATGGGTGTGGGGGAGCCTGAGCAAGAGCACAGCTGGCCAGCCCCAGACTGGCAGCCCTGCAGTTACCATTCCTG